GGGGAACTACTTCGAGGGTGATGGATGAATTTAATACCTGAGATAAGTGTACGGGTTTTTATAGGCGCAGTCTTGAAACTTTCCGATCGCACCTCGTATACAAGCAAGCAATTTGAACTTCCATTTTGTTGTTCTGCTGAAGCTGGTCAGTTACATTTTTAGGCTCTTATGCAAGAGACCTTCATATCTGATGATGTCAAGGACTATAGAGCTACAGAGTAAGTATGCAAGCCCCTTGAAATATATACGAATTCCTACTGCAGGACATAAATTAGTAGAAGTGAGTTAATAAACTAAAATGCCTTTCTGCGTCTAAGGCAAAAGCACGCAAAGTTTGGTGTGAATTGGCTTATCCACTCACGAGGTAACAGACATATCTAACCACAAAGGGTCCAGTGATGGCATTCACCTTATATGAAATCTTGTGTTGGAGATGATGCGACGCGTTGCGTCGCTTGGCGTCAGATTTCTAGCTGTATATTATATGGCGAAAATTAGGTTATGTAAGGATAGGCAGATTTGGGTTCTGTCTCTTTAATTCGGTTTGTTTCTGCTTTGTTCCCTTAGGTTCAGTTTATTTCAATGTAGTTACATACTAAGTACTTGTTAGTATCTCGTCAGCAGACTAGCAATCGAAATGATATTAGGGTGGCTAATAAGTTCTTTGAAAGTGTGACAGAGTTCAGATATTTGGGAACGAGTAAAAAATGATAATGATATTCCCAAGGATATTAGGAGAAGACTAAATTCTGGAAAAGCTTGCTACTTTTCAGTTCAAAATATTAAAATGTACAGAAGAGTAATTTTGCCTGTTTTGTGTGGGTTCCAATCATGATCTCTCACTCTCGGGGAGGAACATAGATAGCAAGTGTTTGAGAATAGGGTGCTAAGGAGGTTATTTGGGCCTAGGACAGAAGAGGATGGGGTGTGGAAAAAGCTGCATAATGATGAGCTTAAAAATTTGTTCTCTTCTCCCAGTATTGTCAGGGTGATGAAGACAAGAAGAATGAGATAGGTGGGGCATGTGGCACGCATGGATGGGGCAAGAGGTGTCCACCAGGTATTGGTTGGGAAGCCTGAGCGGGAGAGACTGCCAGGGAGATGTAGATGGAAGGATAATCTCGGGGCGGGATCTATGGGAGATGGGAGTTGAAGGATCCTGGATTTTGTTGGCCCAAGACAGGGTCTGGTGGAGGGCTTCTGTTCTAATTTGGTGATGAACCTTCGTGGTCTCTGAGCCATCTAGTAGGTTAGTTCTGAATAGTTTGGTGCTGCTTTATGTTATGCAGGATTTTGATGGTGTTTGTAACTATAAGTATGAAGATATTTTACTTGAATTGAATCTCTCAACACTGCTTTTTAGACTGAAGTTTATGCCATTTTTATTATTAACTGTGTTAAAGGTTGCTGATCCACTTTGGATTGTCATAATGCTCATACCCAGTGGGATCAATCAGACTTCTCTGCTTGAACTGCACTTTGTTATTTCAAGATCACTCTTGCTTTCAACACCAATTTAATTGAATTGTTCTTCTTTTATTATTGCTTTTAGACAATTTAGCATTATGATGTGATTTTGGGGGGGAGACAATTTTATAAAGACCTGACTTCCATATGGGAATTTGCCATGAGATGTTCATTATTTTTATATTAATTAAATTGTTTACATTCAGTTGAAAATTTTGCAGTTTTTCGTTTGCTAGAAATTATTACGTCTAATACTTGTACAACTACAGAGTAAAATGTTGGTTCCAGGGGAACAGTGGTCATCGGAGTGTGACCAAAGGTATGAAAACAGCTGATAACTACTGGTGTCCTGCGCATTGTGGTGTGACTGCTGTAGCAGCTCCAGGTACAGTGTCACCATCTGCTGGTCGCTGTAAGAACAAGGAACAAACACCAGTCCCACCGAAAGGTAGGGAAGCGAGAACATTTTGTTGTACCACAGAACCATGGCTGCTTAGCCAACAGTGTCATATACAGATGGAGAAATCTGCAGAACATGTAACAGTCTACCTCAGATTATTGCTGCTAATGCTCAGGACACTGAAGAGGGCTCCAGTTACATCAGAATTCAGGCTGAGACAGATTTTAAAGCATTTAAAAACTGCGTAATGTGTACTGAATTTGAAAATTGGTTCCGTTAAGAAATTTTTGCGATGTGAATAGTTTGCCAGGTGTCAAAATATTAAATTCGTGGTTTTTGTGACTGCGTAATTTTTCCTTGTTGATTTTTTTTAACATTCAATGAACCGAAACAAACTGGAATGTTTGGAGTGGTCATTTAAAAAGGAGTTTTGAAACAACCCGTTGATTGGTTGGTCTGTTATGTTATGGGTTCAGATATGCAGATCAGTTTTGTGGTACAAAACCAAGTGATATTCATGCCCAGCAATGGAATAATCCATGGTTGACCAACTGGCCAATCCCCATCCTTATCTGGGACACTGGTTGCTTATTTGAGAACCACATCAGCAAAATAGGGCTTCAGAAATATTGAAGTAATTCATTTTTCTGCAGAGTGCAGTGATGCAATTTTCATGTAGGTTCAGTATCTTTTAAGAATGGTGTACAAATAGCAACAAACATTTTTATTAGGAGACTTCTTTATTTATATAGGAAAGTTATGTAGTGGAAAATATAAAAAGGAACTAGGGTCTATCCTGGTTTAAGGCTTTATATTTAACAGTTTTTAAAATATTTTATACAGTGTTACATTTATGTTAGAATTAAGTGCAGTATAACTGTTAAGGTGAATGTTTGGGCCTTTGAATCTTATGGAAATATAGAACAATCAAAACATATGCCACTTGCTGGTTTTGTGTGTATGGCATTTATAGAAGCATTGTATTGCAGTAGTCAACTTTAAAAACGATATCATGGAATGACAGAATGATGAAACAAAAAAAAAATAAAGGAAGGAGTGAAGTCTTGCTGTAGTTAAAAGAGTTTGGAAATTGTATTCCGTACAGGAATACACAAAATATCCTCATGCGTTATTTTCAGCATACATTTAGAAAGAGGTATTGAATCCCAATTGTTCGATAGTTATCACTTAGGCCACCAGATTGCAGTATCTGAGTGTCTGCCTAATGACTTTCCTCGACCATCATTTCATCATCACCGCCCGTAGGATATTCAATGACACAGAGCCAGGGAATAAGGCGCATTGTGGGAAATACACGACCCTCATACCAAGGATAATCCTGTGACCTGGCGGCTTACTTCTCTCAGTAACAGTAAAATAGGCCGTGGCTAGTGATTAAATGATGATTTAGTGAGATTGGTTATTAAATATTGTGGGGTCGTGGGCAAAGATGGAGGAATGTTAGCGAGAAAGGAACGGGTAAGAAATTTAGTCTTTGGAAACTGTTGCTTGTTTTTAGGTAATGGGCCGAGTGGAGGAACATGCGAGGAGTAGTTCCCCAAGTTACCTTTTACAGATTATGTGGTGCTCTGACGGAACGGAATTTGCAAATCCAAGCCCAGAGCTACTATAATTTTTTTCTTGATGCTAGGCAGTTGTGGAATGAATTTATATTTCATTTTAAAAAAAGGGTTAGAGAAGAATCACTGCCATGAAAACCTCAGCTCCTACAAAGTTATGCCTAAAAGTTAAAAAAAAAATATAGGAAGTAAAACTCAAACGATTAAAAAGAAAAAAGTTGGGAGTAATTACACATACAATAAGTAAGGACATCAGATTCATTCACATCAAGGAACAAACATATTTTATTACATGCTCAGACTACAAGTACAGATTGCGAAAGATGGAACCATTATGAACAATTATCATGCCTTCCATACAGGGCCACTTTAAGGCAGGTGTGTGGGACTGTATAACATAAGGTATTCGAAGACACTTGACATTCACTCTGTATAATTCAACAAAACATTTCTTCACAAAATGTGCCCAAAGATGGCTGTCTTCTTGGTTGTTGCACTGTGTAGTCTGGTAGAAGGTAAGCGATGTTTCAGAGGTCCCTGCCTTCCTCCATCAGGGCGATCGCCTTGATGATGGAGGCGGCAAACACACCCGAAATGTCGATTAACCTCTACAGGGCTACACGGTGCAACAACCCAGAAGACGGACATCTTCAGAATCACTGCCATGAAAACCTCAGCTCCTACAAAGTTATGCCTAAAAGTTAAAAAAAAAAATATAGGAAGTAAAACTCAAACGATTAAAAAGAAAAAAGTTGGGAGTAATTACACATACAATAAGTAAGGACATCAGATTCATTCACATCAAGGAACAAACATATTTTATTACATGCTCAGACTACAAGTACAGATTGCGAAAGATGGAACCATTATGAACAATTATCATGCCTTCCATACAGGGCCACTTTAAGGCAGTGGTGAGGCTATGGAAAAACATGATATTGGGTTCCACTGTCCCATTTCTTAAAAATAGGGGGGATTAACAGCAAATTTACACTACTGAGAGATTTAAAAATCTTATTGTAAAAACTACCTTGGTTTTTCACAAAATGTATATTAAAAACTGAATGGATAGGAAAGGATAATCTTAAAATTTTATACATTCAAGCTAAAGTGATATGCCAAGTTACCCATGCATAAAGAAACGTTTTGAATGTCCTGTGTGTTTCAACTGCCCAAATAGGTGAATACAAAGTACAAGTGAACGAACTGTTTAAAAGTCTGCTATTCTGATGGCGCTATTCACAGCAAACAGCAATCAGACTATTTTAAATCGGTGATCATCATCAACAACAAGTATAAGGCCAAGTGGCCTGTTACGGTTTCATTCCATCTTTTTAACAGTCTTTCCAGGCTTCTCGTCCTATTCGGTCTGTAGTTCAAAAGTTGGTTTGGGTTTCTATTAGAGTCTATTCTGTCAATGTGATCTTTCCAATTGGCATGATAATTCTGAATAAATTTAGAGACTGGTTCGACTTCTAATTTTTCTAGATTTTCTTCATTACTTTTGTGGTCCAAAAGTGTAAAGTCAGCAGTTTTCCTCATAAATTTCATCTCTGCTGCTTGCAATCTTTTCTCATCCACCTTTCTAAGTGTCCAGACTTCACTTCCATACAATAGTACTGGTCTTGCTAGAGTCCTGTAAATGTTTAATCTTGTATGTTGTTGTACTAAGGAGGGTTTGAAGACTTGGTTTCTGAAACTGGTTGTTTGTTTAAATTTTGATATTTTTGAGGGCATATCTTTCTCACCTTCATAAGTTTGTGTGCAGCCTAAATAATTGTTCTTGAGTTTCATAGAATAGTCAAGAAGGGAATGGATGCTTCTTCTGTTTCAAATTAACAGGTGAACATAAGGTATGCTCTTCTCCTACCTTGACTTTTCGTATGTCATGGCCTGATTCTATGATGTTCCTTGTTTTTGTTCAGATTTGCCATAAATCAGTAGCTTCAAATAAGATCATTACAGGTTATTGGTTGCTTCATAAACTACATCTATCATCCTATGTATTAAAATGAAGCCATTACATTTGAGGGGCTCTCTAGTGGACCCAACAAAGTTGTTCTTTCATCACCTGAAGATGGGGCCAGAGCCAGCCCTTGAAATATTGTGGCTTCATTTTAACACACAGAATAACATATTTAGTCCAGTAAAAGCAATATTTAATTATAATACACCATCATCAGAACCTATTAGAATTAATTTGTAAATATCTGAATCACCCCCAAACATCTATAAACACACTCAAATTCAAGCAATACAGTGAAACCTCTATCCATCGTTCCCGGAACTATCGTTTTCCCAGATGCATCGTCCGTTTTGTTCGGTCCCCGATACATCCCATATAAAATAATGTTACATTTTCCCGCTTCTATCATTCCTCGAATGATCGTTTCTGAGAAATTATAACTAAATTTACACGATATTTTTAGAATTTAATTCTGAAAGACGCACAATGTTTTTGGAATACACAGTAGCAGTAACCTGTTATGTCGCCCAACCAGCACAGATTCGTGTGGAATAAGGGGTGATAGTTGGAGTTAATGGCTGTGCTCATTGTCAGAAATTTTATGAGTTTAATTAGGGTGCACTCATATTTCGTTCCAGCGATGCCAGATGGCATGTGTGTGAATTCCTTCACAAATGCTTTTATTATACATACAAAGGAAAGGCAGGCTACACTTTTCATTCTTCTGGTTCATCTCGTGCCTTCTACAGCTATGTTTCGTTGAGTTCGGCAGTAATAGTATTTCCATTCTTCCTGTTATTGTTCGCGAAGGTGGTGGGAATGGTGAGGAAGAGGAAGACCATGAATGCGAGCCCGAAACTGTGCCGAGTTTTGCCGAAGCACGCCCTGCATTGGCAAACGTGAAGTCATTCTTTTATGCGCATAATATTAGTGAACGTGACGAGGAAAACATTTTGAACATGGAAAGGGCTCTGTTTGGCCTAAAACGCAAAGTTTTGACAAACCAGTTGTCCATTAAAGACTTTTTTGGTAAAAAGAAGTAACTTTGAAAGAGAAACATTGTATCGTTTTCCCGTATTCATCGTTTTTATTTCCCACCCCCCCTGAAAACGATGCATCGAGGTTTCACTGTATTTCACAGTAACATTGCATGAACAGAATATACTTCCCCAGTCTGTTTAACATATTTTGTGTTCAGTCAATCAAACTGTATACAATTCCAAATTAAAGTTTATGGCATTACTGCAAATGAAAATGTACAACATAAATCAAATAAGACACACATACGCCTGCTGCCACTTCTTACTGACCCAAAAAACACAAGATAAAACTGGT